CATTCAAAATATGTTTTGATATTAAACGACACAATGAAAGATTTCTAAAAATTCTCGAAGTCCTGAAATTCCACATCCTTTGCGGAAATTTGTATCGATGTCATGTTGAAGATCAACAAACTGAGCTTTCTTTTCATGATCATCATCCACTTGAAGGAAGGAAATGAATTACGGTATTCATAAAAATATTGATTTTTTCTTCAGCTGGATGGCAATAAAAATCCATCTTATGCTTAAAGAACAGAGACAGAAATTTATGCCCCACAACGTCCTTCGAAACAACAAACCCTCAATACACGAAAATTTTACTAACAGTTAAAAATCACGAAAAAAATTCGCTTTTTAGCTTCTAAAAAACATCCTTTAATTGCCACAAGCACTTGAGCGGGGGGGGGGGGATTCATTAGCCTAAGCGTAAACTTCCCAGAGCATTTTTAATTGGCCCGAACGGAGGTAGAATAAAAAATATAAAATAACATGGAAAATAGCTGCGGAAATTACGAAAATTACGAGCTCGGAATTATCTCAAGCATGCTGTTATCCGCCAGGTGTCAAATTCTTCCAACCCCTTTTTTTGTCGCTGTCACTATGATACATTACACGCTCGTTTTCACTGTCATTTTAATTACGAATAAAAAGGATTCGGTAGTTTGTTTCATTTTTTTCTCTCTACAGCAATTAACTAGGGGACACTTTCAAAAACAATGGGCTCATGGTTGAAGAAAATGCGAGGCATTCGAGTCTGGCTCGAATGAAACACGACAATTCAATTTCGGATTTTTTACTAAATTGAATTTCGAAAGCTGTGAGTCCTGAAATTTCCGTCTCGGTTCCGGGTATAATTTGAAAATATTTAGCATTTCAATTAATCGAGGATTATTTTTTTCATTCTCGGATGTGATGATGAAACAAAATGCAAAAAAAAAAATATTTCCTTCCCTGGGGAATTTCTCGAGTTCGGATCGCATTTCCTTATTCTTTCCCTTCACCGTATGTTTTTCGAATAGAAAGAATTTTTAAAACAACCGGAATTCTTCAAAACAAGAGAAAATACGAGTATAATGATCATCATCGGGAAACCAAAAGGATTCAAAATACTGTACTTCCATTTCTACACGTGACTTCTGAGTCTCTCTCGTGTCTTCGTTCCGGTAAAACTTGAATTCATACTTTTAGTATTTTATTTTATATTCAAATTATGTTTCTAGATACTTCGCATTTCCATTTACAGTACTGTACTCTATTCCCTGAAGACATGCGAAAAATATTCAAAACGCAAGGAAGGGCGAAAAAATGAATAAAAGAGAAGGCAGTACTCTCATAATTGATTTTTCGCTCGCGTCAAAACCAATCGAAAAACAGCAACTTTGGAAATTATTTTTACAAAAAATTTTGCTCACGGATAAGACCATGAGCATTATACAGTACTGTACTGCACTGATGGGTGAGAGAAAATAATACCGACGAGTGAAGAAAGCAAAAATAAATTTTTAAAAAATAAAAGTTGAACCTCGTTAAGAGCCGGAGATTTAGTGGCGTCCCCGTGGGTCTTCTGCAAAACGGTGAGCCCGCTATCAAACCTGAGCATCTCGCCCAAGAGCCCACTGGCAGCCAGGAACCCATCCTGGTAAACACTGCCAGTAAACACGCCACCCACTGCCTCCAACGTGGCCCGAACCCAGGTGTTCCCGGACCCAGGGAAACTCACCAATGCCCTCGTCTGACTGCTGCTTTTTTTTTTGCCAGCATCGTATCCGTGCGTACATAACGAGAAAAACAGTCCATACTTTTTTAAAAATCAAAATTGAAAAAATATATGAAGCTACTAAAATATAAATGGATAATTTGTCAGGGTTGAATGGAATCTGATCCCAATTCTGCTTCTCAATGTGGCCCTCGCAGTGCTTCACACCGGACATTAGAAGTAATCATTTCTAAAATATTCATGCTTATTAATTCGTCCAACAAAAAAAACTGGAGCCCATCATCCAGGAGTTCAAAGAATTGTACTTGAATACAGTATAGGACCTTTTCCAGCGAATAAACATAACCGCCAGGTGGAGAAATGTATATGAATTATATTACAAATGATAAATGTATGCATTACATCACAAAATGCCTTTTCAAAATTCTAGTTCCTTTTTTAATTCCAAGGCCACTCTTTAAAACAAACAGGGCTTCAAATGCAATTAATTAGATGCACAGAAAATATATTTTCAAATGAGAGTCCGCTTGAATAATTAAAATGAGTCCTCGAAATCTAAAATAAAATCTACTTAATTCAATCGCACTGATAATTTTTTTTTTCAATTTTTGGCGCGCAATTTAAAAGTATATTTATTTTGGATCGCTCACAATCTTAAATTTTGTTTGCATACTAATGGTCTAAAATCGTACTGATCACATGCTTCCGATCATTTCTCCCTTCCGTGGTTGAATATAAAAGCTTGAATCCATTTTTCTGTTGGTATTTTTCAAGGAGATGAAGTTGCTAATTCCGCTGCGATTATAAACAACAGATTCCCCAATTCTGCAGAAATCAAGCGCAAATAAAATAAATATAATTTTCATGATCGAATAATTTCTTTCCAAAATATTAAAACGCTTCGCAAAATTTGATCGTGTCTCATGTTCCAGAAAATACGGTATACTTCACAGGAAAGGTAAACGACTGAATACTGAAGAAGAAAAAAAAAAGTGAGCCACATAAAGAAGCGGAAACACTTGCTTTCTCAATCCCTCTTTTTCTGTCTTTCCTTCTTTTATGAAATTTAGATTTATATTTTTTTCCCTCTCGCAGTGATTGAAATTGAGTTTGTTCGCTGTTTCTTTCTTTTTTCTTTTTGTTTCCTTCTCCACCTGGTAACATTGGTCAAGAATCGAATGCCTCCTTTCGTGGTTAAAAAAAAAGCTTGAATCCATTTTTCTGTTGGTATTTTTTGAGGAGATGAAGTCGCTAATTCCGCTACGACTAGAAACTACACATTCCCACGATTCTGCAGAAATTAAGCGCAAATAAAATAAATATAATTGTCACAATCGAATGTTTTTTTCCCAAAATATCAAAAAGCGTCGCAAAATTTGATCGTGTCTCATGTTCCAGAAAATACGGTATACTTCACAGGAGCCACATAAAGAAGCGGAAACACTTGCTTTCTCAATCCCTCTTTTTCTTTCTTTCCTTCTTTTGCGAAATTTAGATTTATATTTTTTTTTCTGATTGAAATTGAGTTTGTTTGCTGTTTCTTTTTTTTTTCTTTCTTTTGTCCTTCTCCACCTGGTAACATTGGTCAAGAATCGAATGCCCAACAGGCGACAGGCGTCATTCACACGGCCCACTGCCCACGGATAATACACCGCGTTAAGCCACGTTTCCCGATCTTTCCGAGGCCAGTCCCGAGGTAAAACGCCGCGAAGCCGCCTCGGAATCACGACCTGGAAACCAGGCTTAATCTCCAGCCTCCTCCTGCTGTTGCTGCTGCCAGCTTCCGGTGGCGGCGGCGGCGAGAGCGAGGGACGCCACGTGGTCGCCAATCCCGGGACACCCCGGCCTCCAGACAAGTACCACGTCAGGCCCAACAACAGCGCCGCCATCGAAACGCACAAATGACGCAATCGTCTCATCGCCATTTCTTTTTTAAACTTATCCACGAAAAAAAAAAAAATGCAAGACACTACAGGAGAATATCAAATTTGGTCTCGATACAGTAAAAAGTCTCCGGACAACGAAGCGTTCGGGAACTTGAGAAAAAAAAAGCTTCGTTATGACGAAATCAAAATAATATTAGAGAAGAGACCAAAAAGCAACAAATTCGTTGTATGAGCAATAATTCGTTATAACGAGATTAGTTTGTACAGTAACAAGGTTATATTGCATCGTATTTCGACGAAATGAGAGTAAGATCACCAGTTACACTTTCCGCTTTCATACACTTACCCAGTGTAAAAAAAATACTTATTTGTCTTATTTTGTCCTTAAAAAAAATGAAGAATTCAGAAAAAATATTCCAACAATCTTAATCGTCAGTTTCGTCTCAGTTTGCGTTTCAATTTCAAATAAAATACTCATTTATTCATATATCAAAATAAATTAATTAAAAGCAATTCAATTAATTAAATCCAATCAATCAAATTCAATTAATTTTATTTGAATAAATAAAATATTTATTCATATTTTTCGAATTTCATATTTTGCATGCGGTTTTTGCACTCGCTTGGAAATAAGATGAACACAGTAACTGATCTTACACACGGTTTCCGCATGTAAGACAACTTATTCGTCTTATTAACCTCCTACAAAAACTAAGAGTTCAGGGAAATTCTCCCAACACTATTTTCATTATCAATTTCTTCTCACTCAGTTTGCGTTTCAACTTCAGTCAAATGACCGGTTTTTGCACTCATAATTTCACTTGCGTGGAAGTACAATGAGACCCCAAGATGCGGACATAATTGGTGCGTGAAGAGTGTCCCTAAGTCGAGTCTTGTTTTCCCATAGACTTACATTACATGATTTTTAATTGGTGTTTTATGGAAGAAATGTTCTTCAGAATTCCATTGTTTGCCACTTGAATATGATTCAGTGAAAATATTTTCAACTCAATAAGAACATTTGGAGCATTGAATAGTGTAACTCTGTACTGCACATTGAAAATTTGGCATCTACAAAAATAACATTCGAATCAAAAAGAGAGAAGACATTACCTCTATTATGCAATAGGCAATTTTTTAATTAGCTCAATGGATGGAGAAATGATGAAGAATTTTTCTTGCACAAATCTTAGGGTTGGAAATATCTGTTTCTCGCAATCAAGCCAAATAAAAGTCGAACTTTTTGGCAATTTTTTCATCATACAATTTCCTCATGCTGAGTCAGTGTCCGTAAGCCGTGCCTTTTTTAATCCCATTTTATTGAAAAATAAATGCCTCTATGTCAAATTGTCCTCATGTTGAGGTGTCCACATGTTGGAATCTCACAGTGAAATAAAAAAAAGCATTAATCACTCTTTCACTTCCACTCGCGACTGCCACTTNAAAAGTCGAACTTTTTGGCAATTTTTTCATCATACAATTTCCTCATGTTGAGTCAGTGTCCGTAAGCCGTTCCTTTTTTAATCCCTTTTTATTGAAAAATAAATGCCTCTATGTCAAATTGTCCTCATGTTGAGGTGTCCACATGTTGGAATCTCACAGTGAAATAAAAAAAAGCATTAATCACTCTTTCACTTCCACTCGCGACTGCCACTTGATTTCACTCGAAGAAAATATATTGATTTCTCTCGATATTTATATTTTGAATAATGTATCCAAGGAAAGAAAAAACGTATAAAAATAACAGAACACTTCGAGTTTCATAACCATTCGAATGCACCAGCAGGCCTCACTCTTCAAGACTGGAAACGATTCGGCGAGAAGAGACGGAACCGTTGTTGGAAAGTCGGTCAACTTTGCGGGACACGGAAGACTAAGAGACCCTATACTTGTTCTTTCCAGGACAGCAAAATCAAGAGATCTATTCTTGTTCTTTCCAGGACGCCCCAGATTAAAAAGTAATAATTGATTAAATACGTATCCTCGAACCCAAAGATGAGATAACGCGCAAGAGATTGAGTTGACGTTGACATTATCTATCAACCTGGAATGCAGTCATGAAGATATTCCGTTATAACGAAATTGTTCGGTATAAAGAAATATTTCACTGGTACACAATCCCGTGAAAACGTCGTTATAACGGATTTCGATACGTTGACATTATCTATCAACCTGGAATGCAGTCATGAAGATATTCCGTTATAACGAAATTGTTCGGTATAAAGAAATATTTCACTGGTACACAATCCCGTGAAAACGTCGTTATAACGGATTTCGAGATTCAACGCAATATAACGAATTTCCCATGAAAAAGGCTGGTTGAAATTTTTCCGCCTGCATTTGAAGAGAGTAATTTTGAATCAATTTTCACTGTTCACAGAAAACCTGAGATAATTTCGTTGGCGTGAAATACATATATATTTTTTGTGGTATCCTGTTAGTAATTTTTTTTTCATTTCTTCAATTTACCCAAGCAAGACATCGAAAGTGAAAAATTAAACCTTGAATTCATTCCCAGAAGAAAACTCAAAATTTCGTCATGATGAAATTCGCGAGATTTCCGCTTCAGTTTAATTTTTTTCAATCTCGTACTAAACACCCACAAAAAAATAACCACTGTCCTAGAAAAAACAGGAGCCTTCCGGGAAATTAAAAATTACGGCAGCCCATGAAAAACGGTGGCCACTGGAGTGTAACGAAACTCACCAGACACACAC